ATTGTACTCTTGTATACATACGAATAAACATTATCTGTCTAGAAACAAACATATTGGTATTGTACTCTTGTGGCAAGCGCTGGAAGAATCACGGTAGTGGTGCTCCTCGGTGAACAAATCCTCTACTCTCCACGTAAGCCACGCTGCAGCACTAAAATAATTATTTCTAAGCGGGCATTTTCTTGGGCAAGAAATCCCACAGGCCAGGCAAGAAAAACAAAACAGTTTTGGTAAATACAAACACTGATCGTTTGTTAGATAGTCTTAATAGCTAAGTAGTATTATTAATTTCGCTTCGTAACTCTCGTGGAGAAAGTTCTAGAAAAGGAAAAACGATGGAAAGTTTTAAAAACATACCTGATAGAGATAAATTAAACATTTTAAGCGAATCATTACTCAATTGTAATAAAATCCTGCTGCGCTAACCTTCAGGGAAATCATTGAGGTATAACATATATGCTACTTGAAACAGGTTTATGAGTGTATAATCCATACGGTTCATTTTACTGCAAACGTACATGTTTTCAACGCACCATTGTCATTCATTCGTAACAGCATTAAAATGGATTTTGTTTGTGAGTGAAGGTGGCGGTTCACCTGATATTATGTGATAATAATAATAATAATAAACCCAACCAGACGAGAAAACAAAGAAATATCCCCAACATAAAATATTATCATATATCTTATATTATAATATATCTTTATTCACATAGACGCTTGCGCGTTCGTATGAAAAAAAAATTTTACAAAGAAATTAACACGTTCGTAGTGTTAATTGGCGTATTCATTGAAAACCGCCAAAAAAGAAAAGAAGAAGAAGAACACGTTCGTAAGTTACCACATAACCGCCATCCATGGACATTTGCAACATCCGGTTGCAGATGCGTTGCCACCTTTTAATAAAATGGGCTCCGGTTATCTCACTCACATTAGTGAGTAAACGCAGAAGCGTAACACTTTCACTTCACGCCAGTGTCCTTCTATCACTCGAAATTTCCAGTGGTTAATATGTATTTTGTTATTACCAGTGGTCGCGCCGAGTGGTCGAAATTCGACTATGATTAGGTATATATTTTTTATTGATTTGATGTATTTTTTATGCATAGTTAAAAAATATCTTTATACAGGGAGGCTTTTCTAAGTGTATCCATTTTTTTAGTAAAATTCTAGACATAAATAATGTTATATAAAAAATGATAAGTATTTAAAATCACTCGTAATTAATTAATTAATTACATTCATTTGAACTTATCTCAAAAAGTGCGTGATTTATGGGCAACTCATTTATTTTACGCGCGATCATTCATAACTAACACGCACACAAGTTCGTTTCAAAAGTATATGACGCATTTATGAATGACTACCGCATTGTGAACAAGTTCGTATTTTTAGGGAATAGAATTGCAATTTTTTTTTGGAAAAAAAAAGTTTGTTTTTATTTCAATAAACGATTATACTACCGAGTCTAAATCACCTGTGAATTTGGACACCTTTAAAAAAGCCACCCTGTATATACTATAAGTGTGAGAAATTTCATACTCCACCGTCCGCGCAATCTTCGTAAAAAGGGTACAAATTTTTTGCTTCACGTATTAATATATAGATAGAAGATAGATAATATGTATTATACGTACGTAAATTTTGCTTCCGATCTTTTTGATAATAAGCATCGCATACGAAGCCACAGGTATCAGCTAGTTTATAATACTATTGAAATTATGTGCTTTGTGCAAATAATATCGGGAACATTGTCTAGTTCTATAACGGGCTTTGAAGAAGGATTTTAATCTGAAGAGGAGTTAACGAATGAGTACACTATTCAGTCATAATTCTTTTTGCAATATTTCCTTTCGTCTGGAAGGACGATACAATTTTTCTGTATGGTCGATTCCATTTTACCCAAATCCAGAGAGACTTTATTTCGGACATTAGCTGTCTTATGTAAAGTGCGACAAGCTAATAAATAATTCACAGGAAGGCCCAACGCTAACGTTACGTTTAGGAGATTTTACTTGACATTAAAGATCAAAACTCATTCGGTACTTTAGATAAAACGGATTGTGCAAATTTGCCTTTATTGAACATTGAATTTCATACACGCATGGAAAAATCTTTCATACACACATATGCGTTCGATTCTTCGGTATAGTTTAAGGATATGTACGGAATAATATTATTGAATTAAATTAACTATAGATTGGCCATTTATTTATATTCCATGCACAAAAAAAAATAAAAAAGCGAACTTAACGCTACCGGCATTATTCCAAAGTGAACTTTGGGCTAGCACGGAAAATTTAGAGTAAATTATTAAATTAAAAACCGGCCATTATCATTACCATTATCTATAAAAGCGCCAAATAAATCATGTCTGTTGTATGGGAGCCCCATTAAATATTTTTGTTATTATGTTTTAGTTATTATATTTATTATTATAGCGGAGACAGAAATACATCATCTGTGAAATTTTCAAGTGTTTAACTATCACGGTTCATGATGTGATAGCCTGGTGACATTAATGTGTGTTGAAAATTCATTCAAATTTTTATTGAGATACATAACATTTTCGAGTGTGTACTGAGAAGCAACAGTAAACATGTTAATGTCTTTGCGATTGTTATACTTTTTCGTTAATGAGTAAATTAAGTCCGGTGTAAATTATATAGTAGGTATACTACTATATACATTACATCGGAACGTCAATTTACATAGTATATTGCAATAATTATACAAGGTATATGTTATATTCACCAATAAAACCTCAAAAAGTTTATCACTAACCAATAATAATAAAAGGATGCATAATAACGCGGGAGCGGTTGTCTTAAGGGAAATAACTTTTAGTCTGAAATATACTTCAGTTGGAACAGCGAGAACGTAAGCGGTTTATATTTGCATAATTTATACGGTACATTTAACTATAAATGGACACGTTAGTAAATAAACTCACTGGATTTTCTGGCTAACTAGGTCTTCAATTTATTTTCTTTTAAAGTACGTCTTTAATCGGTACAACTTTACATAAGTAGCTTCTAACCTTGGCATTGAACGCATGATTTTTTCAATGTGATATGACGTTATCTACTCGAGCGAAGGGACACTTGGTCGCATGGAGTAACGGTGATATTACCACTAGTGCTGCTTGTCGTTATAAAAGTAGTTAATATTGAAGTTCAGAAATAATTATAATATTAGAAACAAAGTAATAACGTTTGAACTCTTATACTTATCATTACAGTATAAATGAATCCTATGTCCTAATCCATAAGTAAAAATTTCTCGCACCACGAGTTGGCTTTTTTTTTTTTTCAATTAATTATTACGTGGACACGGTGGCGAGTGATTCAATTCAGTTCAAATTCAATTCCAATATCTTTATTCGATATACAAGCATTATACTTATCGATTGTAAAAAATTTTCAGGGAAAGTGGAAGTATAATACTTTCGCGATTCGTCTGGTGAGTGAGGTGGCCGGAGCCCGATTTTCAAAAGGTTGTCAATGCATCTGCAACCCTCGGGTGTAGCAGATGTCTATGGGCGGCGGTATTCACTTAACCAGGTGAAGCGTCTGCTCCCTTGCAACCTTCTCACATAAAAACATGTTCAATATCAAGGAATGCTATATGTAAGGAATCAATTATTTCCGCTAAAAATAAAGACATTAAATAGACCGATGATGTAAAATTGTGAATAAATTTAAAATTGTTACCGAAGTTTCTGTCTTGCGACTAAAGGGGAGAAGTGTGTTGGAAAGAATGCTTTTAGTTTTATTTCCATCCCGTGTCAGACTGGCGATCGATAGATGAGCAGCGAATGTATTATTGGATTTCTCGGCGGAGTTAATCAAATGTACATCATGGTGGGATTGGAATAAGCAAGCCGACCTCTTTCACCGTAATCAATTGGCTGTGAGCAAAGCTTTAAGTCCCAGAGGAATTGCAACGGGAAAGAAATGTAGGCTTACGTTCCCAATGGAGAGGGGATAGTTCGTAGTAGAATAAATATATACATTATAATAATAGTAACATAGACTCGTTGCGGCCGTTTCGATCTCCTTAAACAAAACACACTATTGAGCATAATATAAAATACTAGCGACCCGCCCCGGCTTCGCACGGGTGCAACGTATTATACGTATAAACCTTCCTCGTTAATGACTCTATCTAGTTAAAAAAAAACGCATCAATATCCGTTGCGTAGTTTTAAAGATCTAAGCATACACAGGGACGGACAGACAGCGGGACGACTTTGTTTTATACTATGTAGTGGTGAAATGTATAATAGAAAACACTCAAACCACTTAACGATTAATTTTATTGTTGCTAGTAGGTATAGTGATAAGGTCCTAAAATACCTTAACAGTATAATGGGCTGCCGGATTTCAATACAAAAAATATGCCATATTTAAGCAAAATCGCGTACAGCATTAATATTAATAATAATGAGTTTAATGCTTACAAAAAAGTGAAAAACATGTAATCATTAGAAGCCCTGTAGCCTGTGATAGTTTACAACTGTGTTACAGACTACAGTGTCTTCCCGTCATAGTTTCCACTCATTGATATTGTAAGAATATGAAAATGAACACAAAATAAATAGAATAAAAATAAAAATTAAAAAAAAAATTAAATATGTATTTTCCATTACCGGTTTCCTTTATTATCGATGTTTAAATTATGACTGAAAATTGCATTTAACTGAGTAAGTTGCATCAGTCGACAGGGATGATCTCTCGCGGCGTTGTTTCATTAAGATTGAGATAATTTTACCTCAGGTAATTTAAATTGCGCTATTTTCTTATTCGCCGTACTTACTGCATTAAAAGGAATTAGTCAAGCGGCGTGCGCCGTGCTATTATTGTTAATAAAAATACATTTGTTTAAATAAAAAAAAAAAATATTGTTATGAAAACGAACAAAATATGCGACGGCGTACATAAATATTTATTCGATGCTGGATATACTATGTATTATGGATATGTATGCTGATATTTAACATGTTCGCAAAGTAAGCAATTAAAACCAATTTAATAAATTATTTATTCATGTAAGTTAACAAGATTTAATTTAATGAGAACATTGGTATCAATAACATAACATTCAGGAAGTTTCAGATAAAATCATAAAACTTAGCACTTCCATATTTTTTAATTGTTTTATTTTAAACATTGTCCTTACTTTAGGTAATATTACCCTGTGTTGTAAGTACGTTTTATAAACATAAACTTCACGTCGAAAAACATCCAGATGTGAAACAATTATCTGTGTGTCACACAAATAGTTGTCCCGTGTGGGAATCGAACCCACGACCCCCGACGAAGCCGATAGCTTGGCAACTATGCCAAGGAGTCCTCAAATAGTCCTTTTGCTATCGATTACACATTCGAATTAAATTGATTTCCACATTTCTTTTATAGTAGCAATATTGTTGAGCACTCAGACTGTTATTGTTGTCGCCATATAAGAGACAGAACACAATGGTCAGTACCATTATAGGGAATTGAATTTGTTCTCGAATTTTCAGTTGTTTTTATTTTCACCTATATGGTACTCACATTTTTGGTTGATGAAGCCGTGATAGCTCAGTCTCTTGCTTTTAGTTCAATATTCTCGAGCGGCGGTGGCGCCGTTGCGTAAGGTATTGTCTTCGGCATCAGGGGTCGTGGGTTCGATTCCCACATGGGGCAAGTATTTCTGTGACCCACAGATAATTGTTACAGATCTGGCTGTTTTTTGTCCAAAGAGGGTTGACGTCAGGCAGGGTTAGGTAAAAAATCTAGCCAAAACCGCTTACAACACGTTTTCAGCCTGTTTGAGTCCACTTCTGAACATAGGCCTCCCCCACAGACTGCCACGAATACGACCTTGAGCCGCATGCATCCATCGACTTCCCGCACACTTGCACAGGTTGTCACTCTATCTAGTGGGGGTCCCACACTGCGATGGCCAGTACGAGGCTGCCACTCGAGAACCTTTCTTCCCCAATGGTTATCGGTTCTACGAGCTATGTCGGTTATCTTTTTTGTCCTGTAATACTGCTACTGCATGTTTTCATTGCAAACTCTATCAGCAGAGGAATACCGTATTTTCGAAATAATAATAAAAAAAATCCTTCGAAAATATGTGCATAAAAAAAACCAAACCACATTGGGGTCGCGTGCTAGACTCCGTCCTAATATACTCTGTACAGAGGAGGCCTTTGCCCAGCAGTGGGACACTAATGGGCTGTTACTTTACTTAGGTCCTTTTCCCCAGATACGAGACATACAAGGCGACTTTAAAGAAAATCCCCGCCACGCGGCTCTCGCGGCTGACGGAGGCGCTTGCAAACTACGACCCGGTGCTGAACGAATACTTCTTCGACCGCCACCCCGGCGTTTTCGCGCAGGTGCTCAATTATTACAGGTAATGATGAGAACGGTAATTTAATATTACAGATAAGAAAAATTACATAATAATACAGATAAGAAAAAAATACGTAATGTTACAGATGGTAAAAATTTGCAATTTCTTGTATTAACGCAAATACATATTACAAAATGATACTATGTTTACGGATTTCTTGATTTTCTTCACAGAGGCTGTCCCGTGACCATGAACGCTTTAAAGGTTTCGAAACGTCGGTAATTAAAACTAAAAATAAACGCGATAAATCCGTAAATATAGTTTCGTTTAGTAAGAAAATTTACATAATATTACAGATAAGATTAGATAACTACATATAATGAGTGAATTCAAATTATTAATTGTTGAAACCATAAAGAATAATTACGGACGTTAAAGTTTTGTAGTTCAAAGAAGTTCTAGTAGAGGTAATGAAGAAATTTTCTAATAGAGTTTAATGAAGAGATTTTGACAGCTATTTTAGTAGGTACTTGATTGACGTAGCTACGCTTCATGCACTTTCATTTATTAACGTTACACATTTGTATGTATTTATATATTAATTAACTTAAAATACATTTCAGTAAAAAATAAAATAAAGCAATCCCATTGTCTACTTATTGTACAGCGCCACTCTATCATGTCAGTGTTGATATCTAGCTTTTTATTTGGGATATCCAGAATTTTCATCCCGGTTAACATCTGTGACGTAGACGAACCGGAAGACGTAGCGTTGGAAGGCTTCCCTCTAGGTGGACCGACGACATCATAAGAGTCGCGGGGAACCGGTGGATGCAAATGGCAAAGTGTCGTTCGTTGTGGCGTACTAAGGAGGAGGCCTATGTTCAACAGTGGACGTCTTGCGGCTGATGATGATGATGATGATGATAACATCTGTGTTTCATAGTAGGATCGCTTAACCACGCGAGTACTTTTTTTTAATTATGTGTATTATATTTTATTTATAATTTTTAATCTGTATTCTGAATTATTCATGTCATCCCACGTCATATTTCGGCTGCATACAGTTATAATAAGTTATTCGAAACTGTGGCCTCTATGAAACTTATATTAACATTAAATTATATCACAAATATTGCTAGATAGCTCTTACAGACATTAAGCAATTTTCTAGATGATTTCATCTAAATTTTTATTTTAGAATAAAAGTTAATATTAGTAAACTTTCTCAATGTTCTCTCTAAAAGTAAATATTTTGAAGTATTCATGAACATTTTTAATGTTCACATTTATTTCTGTATTGTACTACTTAAACGTCTTTGAGCATTACCTGTTAAAAAAGTCGATAAAGACTTGGAATTATAAGAGCTATAATATTAAATAGTAAACCTGGTAGATTTATACTTTGATACTAGCGACAGACAGACAGGGCGACTTTGTTTTATACTATGTAGTGATTTCAAGAGTAAGAATAAGGAACGAGGAAAGGTGCTTATTAAGATTATCATTCTTTATTCAGAGTTAAATTTTTTTTTTAGTAATTATTATTAATTTTTATTACCTGCTACTAATTAAGGTAATTAATTTGAAACAAATTTGGTGACGGACTATGCTTTTAAGAGCTCTGTTCCGGGAGCCGTAGGTTCAATTTTTTGGGGAAGAAGTATAAGACATAGTTATATACTAGATGTATGTTGGAGTTCATCTCGCGTAAGACGAACGCACGTATTGAAGCTTCGACAACAATCAGTCGTTCGGCTTAGTAGTTAAAGCATCTGGGCGCGAATCGGGAAGACATGGGTTAGATTTCCGCAGCAAGAAACTTTTTGTCCTTTGTCCTAAAAATTTTAAAGCTTCATCAACGATATCTAGTCAGATCTATCTAGAAGTGCAAAAGAAAAAAAAATAACAAAAAGAACAAGACCGCAGAGTTTCTTGCCGATTCTTCTTTGTTCAGGTCTAGTTTAGTGAGCCGGTGGTAGTTTTCTTTGTTGACGTTAAATAAGAGCTTAAGTTAAGCCTATAGTGAATAAACTAATACTTTGACTTACAATGATTTCAAATGCTATGAATAAATCTAGTAAATCTAGTAAATGTGTCTATATTCATAAGGCATACAGATATGGTTAGAGATAATTTCATATAGTAAATATCTCCACGGTACAGCATACCACTTCAACATTGCGACGTATACAAGTCCAATAGGTAAAATTCATTCATTCACTTTAGGGTAGCCCTGTGCGAAGGTATGAAACAATATGCTATAAATCTGTATACAGGAGCAATGTAATGGTAGGCACCGTACGTTGTTAAATTACATACTAGGTCTGAAGTTATCGCTAGTTTTATAAGCTTAGACTAAACTATTTCCGGCGGCGATGGCCGTTATAAACCTCTGGGTATGCGTGCCGTTACTACGGTTACAACAACACTATCCGTTGATGTCATTACAAACAACTATGTCGCTTGAAAGTACTTTGTTAACTTTTCCATAAAAATCAGATCTATACATCAATTTGAAATGTGTTTTCTTACTATTAGGGTAGTTTTTTTTTTGGAAAAAATAACACAGTGGCAGTTAACATAAAACAAACACTTCATACTGACAGTATCAATATCAGCTTATCGTCGTCCACTTTCTGCATGTATGGATTGCACGTACAATTTTTGGTCTATGTCCATAACACGACTCTTCATCGCATTTGCATCTTGCATATCTATAGCAAAAATTTTCAAGGATTTGCAGTCTGCTCTTTTACAGCAGACTACGATGCCAATTGTTTTCTTGATAGTTTTGAAATTGTGAACCGTCAACAGATTTCTTCGAAAATATGTTTATAAGTGGGGGGTGGTGGGGTGGACTATGCCCTGATACCCTCTGTATAGAGGAGGCCTTTACATGGGACATGTAAACTTTACTTTTACTTTGGTTTTACATAAAAACTCTAAACACACCCATTTACATTTTAAAGCAGTTGTTTACAGACCAAGCGTCTGTAATACGAATATTTGTAAATATATATTAGAGCCGTGATAGCTCAGTGTCCGGGCGCTCGCCTTTAATTCAATATACTCGAGCAACCCGAGTTCGATCCCCGGTGCCGGCACCAATGAAGTTATTAACTTTAAGTGCTGCCTTATCACGTGCTCCGCGGTGAAGGAAAACATCGTGAGGAAACCTGCATATTTTCGAAATAATAACAAAAAAAAATGTTTTTCGAAGATATGTGAAGTCCGCCAATCCGCAGTGGGGCCGCGTGGTGGACTATGCCCTGATACCCTCTGTATAGAGGAGGCCTTTGCCCAGCAGTGGGACATGTATAGGCTGTTACTTTACTTTACTTTTATACATTTGTGATATTTACTGACTGTTAAACGATAGTAAGATAAGATAATTATGTAAAAAGTCGATCATCTCGCCATTAAAAGTTTTATATCCACATGTCATTCGTAGGTAGTAATTATTATAGAAGCTAGGTCAAAAAATGCGCAATGTCAGTAAGTCAGTTTAATATTAGAACAATAAGTCAACAATAAATAAGTGAACCTCCAATTAATGAATAACGTGTTATTTATTATTTGGATATTTAACTGTTTAATAACCATAAATAAAATGGTCAGAATTCCATTACCATGTAAGATAAATTTTATATATTCAATGGGCAGATAATTAGCTTTAGTAAATTCAGTTTTTTTTTCCCTGGCTCTTGGTCTATTTATGCCTTTTTATGTGTTAATTATAGAACGGCAATTGTAAATTTATTTATCTGAAGTACTTAAAACAATTTGCTTAAAAGTTTTAAGAATTATAAAATATGAAATACATTAAAATATTTATGACGTATACCCCGCAGTTTAAGTTATTGCAAGTTTTAACTTGTACATTCAGTTAATGTTATGTCATTACTGTAATACATCTTTCCATCCGACGCTGACAATAATTAAAATTTGTAGCAGGATTTTGCAGAGATTTGGGTCCTACGATCAGTAAAATTAGGGAAATGTATTCCAGTCGCCCGTTAAGCCTGACAAGGCTTCCAAATCGTCCACCATTACCATTACAATTGTTCGCTGAATAAAAGCATTTAAAGGCAGTGTTACAATCTGTCTACAACAAGAGCGGTATACGCCTATTGGCTTTATTTTTCCGGATTTTGCGCATATTTTACTTTATTTTTCCGCATGCGGACATTTTACACGCATATTGTCGCATTTGAATCTATTATATGTTAATCATTTTTTGTATTTCAAAACGTCATTTTAGGCAAACAGCACCGCAGAGAGGCATGCTTGTGGTTATGTTCACGGAAATTTTGTCACAGTGGAATCGCTTTGGGGTGAAAAAACTGCATGCTTACGTTTGGATTGAATTCCTGAATCCTGAATTTTACAAACTCTGATTCTTGTGCAACTGTCGGGCATCATTGTCTATTTAGGAGAAAATCGTCCGAATATTCATAATCATCTGAACAGTCGTCATCCTAAAGTCCAAAATAATATTACATTCACCAAAGACACAGTTTGGGTAGCTATTAAATCTCATGGAATTATCTTGCCTTGTCTCTTTAAACCATGTTAATCTGTGACCGTGAATTCAGACCGATGCGCAGCTAAGTTACGCGATTTCTGTTCGTCGCGGCATCAACTTATAAGTTATAACAAAAGGACTCGCTTTCAAAAAGTCCATACATTTAAAGAAGCCATGGTAGTTGAGATGTTCCTAGTGTAAATAATAGTAAGCAGTAGTAGTATGTAGTAAGTAGTAGTAGTATGTAAATAGTGTATTTTTCTGAGGGTTTAGTATATGATTATAAGGTCCCTTTGACTGTTTTCTATGGAATTGTATTATTTCGTGAATAGTCGAGTATCTATCGGTAAATCAACTACCAATCCAATTGAAAGAAGCCCCAATTCAAGTAATGGGTATCATCCCACGCTCAGAGCGTTTTTGCAAAACAGACATCAACATCCACTCTCCAGACAATATGCTATACAACAGCGTCAGTCTAAATGCAGACGGCGCGCTATTACCTTGAATCATAACCACGCATATAATTCTT